AAGTACTATAATGTACTCTTTTTATATATCCCCATATTTTTAAGGATCAATAGATATACTAGAACTTCAAATACTAGATGAGTTGATTAAAGCCTGGATCAATTTGATATTCGAGTACACTCAGCCATTCGAAAATTACATTGTGTTTCAGAAATGTATACGCCTATGGATGAAAGGTTTTCTTTTAGTTAAAGCATAATGTAATTATTAATGGAGGACTAGCGAAGCATGTAGTTTATGTTTGTTAAACAGTTGTGTGTAAAATTCATCCTATATTTAACTGGAATTGTAGCAATGGAAGTTTAGCAGTGGACAAGTACAACTATCCGTTGTTAAGGCATGGCATTTTCTAGCTGTCTCGCTGGCCTGAATGTTCTATGTGGCTGGTATTTAAAGTACTTATAGATCAAATTCTTCTTCTTCATATATAAAAAAATTTGTTTTTGATTCCCATAAATAATGGCAACAATTTACGTTATTGGATAAGAAAATAAAAATAAAATCACAAAAAGTGCAACATTTACTTCCGTTTTTGATACAAAATCTTAAATTTATTATTTTTGTAAAATTAATATTAATAGAAAATAAAAATTATAAAAAATATAAAATACACTTAAATGTATGTGTAAAGAATATCAATTCTTTTAAATATGATATAAATTAAAAAAAAGAAAATAGTAAATCAAATACAAAACTAAAAGTTAAATCTAAAAAAATATTAAATATTTATTGTATAAGCAATAATATAGTAAAGAAAAAAATTAATAATTTATATTATAACACTTAATAAATGATGAATACATTCGAAATTTATAATTTTATTTATAAATCTTAAAATTTAATTGTAATTAAAATAAAACCAAAAACTTTAAATTGTGCATTAATTTTACATATTTACATACATATTTAAAATAAAGTTTAAAAATAATATTAAACTATTAGTAATAAAGTAAATTAATTTTAAGTGAAGTATATTGTTTAATTTATAAATTGAAATTTTAAAATATGTTTTATATACATCATTTTTTATATATATAAAAATTTTTTTACAAATGACACATAAATTATTTATTTGAAACTGACGAACTTGCAAAACAAATTTGCAATATATTAAAAATTAAAAAATCCAAAAAAAAAAAAATTATATATATATTAAAAATAAAATGCAGTTATATACAATTACATTATTATATAAAGAATCGTGACGAAATTTTAAAATATATTCAAAATTCTAAAAATAATAAAATCATCATAAAAACCATATGAAAATTAATTTCAGTAAAAATTGAAAGGAAAATGTTAAAATTTATAATAATTTATAATAATTTTAAATAAATCAATAATAATAAATAATCATAAAATAAATTTAAAATAAAATCGCAAACGTTTCTGTAAAAAAAAAACAACAAATATTGAGTTTATTTTTGACAATGTCTTTAATATAAGATTATAGGCAGATGCTTATTTCTTATTCATAGTAAGATTGCAATATATCTATAAGTACAAAATAATTAGTAGAAACTACTGATAATGGATATTTGGCAATATACGAAGCAGCTATATGGTCTGGTCAGCCCATGAATTTACTTAATAAAAAATTTTCTTTCGAATTTTAAAATTTTCTTGGGATTGCCATTCTTTTTTATTAGAAATAGAATTTTTATCGTAGGACATAAAATTCTTGATTACAAATGAATAAAGTAATGATAAAAAGTTAAGTGTAGTGAAGGGATTAGCTCTACGTTCGTAAAGGACTTTGATTACGAATGGTGTCAACCTACTAATATTAGACGTCTTTGAAAAAAAGATATTGAGGTACACGTAACTAAAAAAAATCAGAACATCATTTGATCAATTTTAGTTAATAAGAGACCCAATGAATTAGATCAAAGTAGAAGTACTGAAACCGTATATATTTTGATTATTTCGGTAAAGTTGAAAAAAGTCATATTGACACTGCAATGAAGTATAAAGAAAAAAAAAGGATTGTATACACATCATTGGATTAATCTTCGTTAATACAGATATGTTTATAATAATCTTATAGATAATATATGGATAAGCTATAAGTATTAAGCTATTGCGATCATATACGAACCTCTTGATGTAATTCTAAAATAAAAAAAAACATTGCTATGTAAGTATACATTTCAAATTTGTTGTAAATGCTCTTACCCACTTAAAATTATCATCATTAGTTTGACTAGTCTAATAGTTGTCACCCGTCAGACGAAATGGAAACTATCTTCCAAATTTATAAAATTCTAAATTTTTTTCATTTTTTAAACACAGCTATAATAATGACACCATTCCGATTTCTTGAGTGCTAGAATTTAACAACGAATATTGGCAAATCATGGTATTTGTGGTACTTCATTCCACCAGACTTTGTATCGACATAGCCTACTTTTCGAGATATCGTGTTTTAAGTAACTATTACTGATTTGGGGTGACTGAGAATCTTGCCGTATTAAATAATAATAAATCAGATCAAGTATTATTAATGAACAAGAGATCGATGGCTGATTAGCGTCTTTGGCAAGTTCTTATTGATATTTGAGGTTTTTTTGATTGAAATGCTTTTATTCTACAAATTTTCTTTTGATATACAATATTTTATCAATCTTTAATATAAGTTTTTAGTGTTTGTAAAAATTTTTGTAATAATTTTATAGTGGTATTAGTAGTATATAGCTTTATTTTACTTTACTTTAAATATTTTGCATAGAAATTTATAACAATTATATTATATACATGAAGCATACAGCTATAGCATTTTTGCCGTCTTATGTTATCTAAAAAATCAAATAATATAATATATTTATATGTTGATTTAAAATGTTTAGTAATTTCAAACTATTAAGATAAAAGGCTTAGCACTAATGTATATGGGTCATTCTTTTACAAACCGGACGGGTTTTGGCAAAAAATGACCTCATGATCTCCGATTTGGCTGAAATTTTTTTTATGAGCTCCTTTCATAAAATAAGAAGACCCGTATCTCGGGAAAAAATTTTGTGATTTTTTTCCTAGGCTATATCTCAAGTTCTATAAAAGGTAGAAACTTGAAATTTACAGCGTTTCAAAGATAATTGATTGAACTTTTATGAAATTGTTTAAACAATTAAAATTGTTAATATTTAAGTACTAATATTAACCGTTAAATTTCAAAAAATAAATTTTCTTGAAATACGAAAGATTTAGTTTTAAATTTTACTACAAAATAAAAATTTTTAAGATACCATCTTTTTTTAAAATTTTTTAATATTTTTTTCTCCCGCAAAACACATCAAGCACATGCGGACTACATTTCAATTGAATGAATTTTCAAAGAATATACTACATATATTCTTATATAATATTTTTAATTTCGATTAGTAATAAAATTCTACATAAAACCCAAAAATTTCAGGACGATATTGCATATATGCTATAATATGTTTTATATTTTTCAACACTTAACTCTAGTACTAACAACCATTTCGCATGAAAAATTACATGAAAATCCATACAAAAATTTTTTTCTACAATATCCAAATTTTGTGAAACATACTGGATTCATACGAAAATTTTGTTTTTAATTTTATACTCCATTCACACTAGAGTTTTGTTTGTAATTTTAGCTGTCATATTTGATTTTTTAGTTCCCAATTGTTCTTGCTTTCAATAAAATTAAATTATAAGATTACAAATATAACTCTGGTCTAAATCCAGTATTAGCTGTCAATTATTTTTGCTTTCAACGCAAATCGAAAATTTTTAATAGCTAAAATTACCAACGAAACTCTCGTGTGAATCCAGTATTAATGTTTACTAATATTTTTTTTATTGTGTAGTTTATTCTATTTTAAAACACATAAAAAGCTTAGTTAAGCTAAATTTAAACTGGCGAACATAAGAGAAAAGCTTTCATAAAATAAAACTTAAAAAGTAAAGAGAAAAACTGAATTCGCCGTTAAGCTAACCAAGCAAGAAGAATGAACACAAGAGCGAATATATCTTTTAGTTTGAATTTGAAACTTCGTGTGGAAAGGTCTGTTGTGTGCGGTAATGATAAAAAATATATATGTATATAAATAATTATAAATAATTGAATTAATTAAAATATGTTTATTAATGAAATTTTTTAATTAAAAAAAAATAAAACTTTTAATTCAAAGATTTTTAAATCTGTGAGAAGTTCGGTTTGAAAGCTATAACTTACGGTTGAAGTCTCGACGTAAACAAAGCCATTTGTTTGTATTTATGCATGCATGTGCTTGCACGTATGTACGAGTATCTCGAGTAGTAAACAAAAAACAGATGAAGTTGACGAATGTGGACGAATTTGGACGAATTTTCCGCTACTGAAATATTTAATTGGCAGTGCGTGTGTGTTAATAAAATTAGTTTTGGTAGCAAATAAAACTGTTAAAAAAAATAATATTAAAAATTTTAAATAAATTTAAGCTATAAAAATATTTAAGTTCAACAGCAATAAAATATTCACAAAAAGTGCATCATTATCTAATGGAATTAATGGCCTTACCATGTTTACTTTAAGCAGAAGTGGCCGCAAATAAAATTGGCAATAAAAGTGCAATTATCAGTAGTCAATAAAATTGAATGAAACGAAAGTTTTCGAACTGGAATTCATAGCTTTTCCACATCAAATCACTATCTTATTTGTAATAATAAAAAAAGGAAAAATTTTAAAAAATAATTAAATTTAAATTTTGACTTTTCCTTTTATTGTTATTTAAAGTAGAACTAATTTTTTTTTTAAATGAAAATAATTACTTGTTTTGAAACGACCTTTAAACTTTTTAGAACCTTGAGTGATTATTTTGAACTTTTGACCTGAATACTCAAATACTCGTGTAAAAATAAAAACACATTACATAAATAATAACAAAGCTTTACATAAATTTAAAATTGAAAATAAATTTAAATTCAGTCTCAGATAAAATTGCGGTTTTAAATTGTATATCTAGGCCTCATGGGTTGTTTTTAACCAATATAGAAAGTTTTATACAAGTTTTAGGAGACATACAATATAATTACATTCTCTAAAATGTATTATTTTTTGCACCAAAATTAGTTAGTTAATATCATTTTAAAACTAAAAAAATATTGTGTTATTTTGTACTTTCCTCGTTGTTAATAAATACTGCCCTGACAGAAGTCCATTCACCTTTCTTTTCAAATTGTATATTTTGAGCTTCATTAACAGGTAGGCACTTGAGGCAAATAGTCGGAAGTTGTAGTCAATTGCTTAAACCACATTATAATTCCACTAAATCTTAAAAGAAATGGGAGACTACAAATTATTTAAAGCCAGTTAGACGTTGATTTGTCAATTAAAAAGTCTCTAATCATTGACTTTGGAGTATATTTTTATTATAGAAATGATAGTGGTACCTATAGCTTTATTTGTAAACCTATAGAAGTTATTGTGCTAGGTAAGCTTTAAGGTTTTGTGCTTATAATAGAAGGGCAACCCTGCTCTGCTTTAGCTGGAGCTGAGTAATCACAGAAATATTACAGTGTTTAATTTTTCTAGTTCATTCTCCTAGTTCTAGTTCATTCTAGTCTTTTCTTGTCCCTACAACTTCTATAGTGCTTACGATACGACACTCCTTGTCGTAAAGCATCCGTGTTATATATCCAGTGATGTGACATACACGTTACGACTTGAGAGATACTCTCTCTTAGGAGATTGAAATCTTTTCTTTATATCTGCGTATTTAGAATCGGCCATATTACTCTAGTATAGCACTAGAGCGATCATTTTTAAAATCCCGTGGTAAATATGTGAATTTTTTATTTTGGATTTTTTGATGTGCCCAGACCTTGGTATCAAAAAATCTTTCTCGGAAGCAATTAAGTAAAAAAAATATTGTTGCTTTTTCAGATACATGACCGGATGTACTATGTATATAAGAAATGCGTTTAAATCACAAACATTACGTTGCCACGCGTACGTTATGTTCGTCATTGTTGGAGTAGTTGTACCTCAAAGTCCTTTGTTTGTCGAGGACCCATTAGTAATTGTATCTTAAAGTCCTTTGTATGTCGAGGACCCATTAGTCCTTCCAACAATACTAATCTCTTACAAATTGTGGTAAGTGATCTAATATCTCATCTGTTTTTGCCTTAACTGGTGAATTCATTGATCCTGCAGTTTTCTTAAATTTTGTTATGTTCCGAAACCTATATTAGGCATATTCTAACCACGGTATAAATGGTAAGATGTTAATATAGTCAAACTTGCATAAGTCGAAGTACCATTTTGCAAAGAAAAAGTTCGAGTTAAAGACCTTCTGTGTAATTATATGTTCTTTGCTCACTAAACCCTTTTGCACTCTATTTAGTTCGAGTTATAGAAAATTCGATTTATAGAAGTTCGAGTTATGGAAGTTAGACTGTATTTTATCATTACAAATGGCATATTGTGTAAAGCCAATTGAAATCAAAAAACCTATGTTTTAATTATATTTTTTTTGTTTAGTTTAATAAACCTATTCAAGAATCTATCCAACACTTATAAATATCTATGTTAATTGTTTTAGTCTTCAAGTTTTCAACACACCTCTATGAATGAGCGGCAGTGAAAAGTTTCATCTGCGAGTCAACTAAAAACTCTATTCTTTCCTTCGATATTATATGGACTAGCGCAGCGAATCGATTTACGATAAATGTAATCTTTCAAAGTGTGAACTAGTAGGTCAATTTTCACATATAGTAAATTATATATGTTTCACAAAAATTTTGACATAGTATTTTATGAATTTATTTTTAGTTTTTACAAAATTTGGCAAAAATAAGCTATCAACGCTTTCGAGACAAATACAAAAATTTTTTTGACGAAATTACTAGGAAAACCAAAGAAAAATATTTAAAAAACAATTCGTTATGTTTGCTTAGACGAAATGTTATTTTAAAGTTTAGAAAAAACCTATATCAAAAAAAAAAAAAACAAAAATCAACAGAACGAAATATACGATATATTGTACCGTATTTGCAAGCACACTTGCCCCTCTCGCTAGTCCAAGAAACCACCGGTGGCGGCCTTGTTAAAAACATAAATTTAGATACAAACAAAAAAGTTCTGAGGCAGAAACGACACATTTTAGTCGAGTGAGTTGATATTGTTTTCTTAAAATTTATATTATCATATATAACTTATATATACCTAACATATACATATATATATATGTGGCTATGTGCTTTTATTAGTTTAAGCAAATTTCATATATATTTATTTATGCATATCTATACACTTGAAGTACATTGCCTTACCACAAATATTCAAACAAAATAATAAAAAAAAATTAATATTGCTACTGCTTTTTTTTTTTAAATAATCAGTTTTTATATCAATGTTGGCGTTTTCATGTGGGTACACTTTTGTCTATAATATTTTGCATTTTCGGTCTTTGGTTTTTATCTTTAACCGGATAAGCCTTTTTATTGCAACATTTATTAATGCTGCTCTTCGCTCTATTAGATTGCATATATTATTTATTGCTCTTAACTGTTATTACAATATTTTGTTAATATATGAAAAACTTTTCATTTTATAACTGAAAAGTACTTAAAAGTTCAATTATTCTTGAACCTTAAGAAAGACACAACTTTTTGCCGCCTACAACAAGATTACACACGATTTCACACAATTTTTTACACAAAATTATTACACAAAAATTTTTAATAGCACAATTTTTTAAAAGACAAAAATATTTTTAGATAAAAGATTGATTTATAATTTAAAAAAATATTTGAATAATTAATGAAGTTTATAATCAATATCTCAAATCATTTCTTTAATTACTTAAAGCGCTCAGTGCCTGAGTATTTAACCTTGCGACTTGATCCTTTCACATATGATATGAAGCGATATTATTATGGTTTATGTATGTGATTGATATCTAGTTGATATATGTTACTTTCAATAAAGCGATCACGAGAGATTTTTTAAACTTCACTATATATAGTATATTTTAAGAACTCAGTTGTAGTATACGTACCTATATATACTGCAGTAACTACACCAACTGAAATTGCTGAGCAGAACTAATTGTTACATCTATTAATAAATTTGCAATAAAACAGAACTAATAGTAAAAGGAATAATTAATATTCAAATAATTCTAAAGTAATGTTGGTATAGGTATATAAAATATATATCTCTATATAAACATATATAAAATTATAAAATTGTTGTATAGCTAATACAATTGGTTCAGTAAATATATGAGTTTAATTTTAGCAGGTTAATCTATATATATATGGACTGAACTGAATCAATTGCATTAGCTGGAACTATACCTGTTAATAATTTTGTAATAAAAAAAAGCTCAAACAAGTGACATAATTATTACTCAGAAGTATATTACATAAAAAAAATATAGATGTATACATATATACGAATTTGTAAGCTAATATTAAATATATCTCATCAAGTATAACTATCACAGAAGTATTAAGATATATATGAATTTTGCAGCTAATATTAGTTTTGTAATAAATAGAATTAACTTATAACTGAATTAATAATAACAGTTAGAATTTATAATATATTAATTAATAATTCTGTAACAAAAAAATCCTAATAAAAAGTGATATAATTAATAGTTCTTTTTAATTAAAGCTTTCACCAACACATAAGTATACAAACCACTCATTTTGTCCCGTAAGATGAGCATACTATATTGTTAAATAGTGAAACTGGAAAGTAATTATAGGATCCGTATATTTTCAAGAACTCTTTTCAAGAACTCATCAGCTCTTTTCATTTTAAGAGTATTGAAGCACTATAAAGTGGTTCAAGCTGAAGAAGAGATGTAAGCATGATCTCCATTTGTATATGCAGTCAATCTTTTGCAGAATATAAAACTAGATTTTTGATTATGGAACCTGCTTTCAGTTAATTTTATAATACAAGATTTTGAGTCGAGTGAAGATTTATTTCATTGGAATAGTTTTATAAACAGAAATCTTTAAATGTAGCTCTACTGTTTTGCTAATTATGTTATAATTGTCTATATTGTGTATCTGTTCAATATTTTATTTATCTTCTACAACCAAACTATTTATTAAAAGACAATATCTGTCTTATCTGCTTGTAATATCGGTACACAGAGTTGATGCTTTCAGGTGCTATAATTGCTTTATTCAACATATTCCATCCGCATCTAACAGAACCATTATTTTAGTTAGGAAGTGAGTGAGATTTAAATAGTTTGTTAATAGTTTGGATTTTTAAAATCATTTTTATTGTTGTGTGTAATATGTAATATAACTCATATAGGCTATAGTACTAAAGTGAGATTATTGATGTCATATTACAGTTCTTCAAATATTCGATGATTCAAAATGGTTTGGTGTGATTTAAATTATTTATAATTAAGTTATTGTTTTTTAATGTGTTAAATTTATATGTAAATAAAAAAATATTTATTGTGACTGAATGTAAATAAAATACACATATATATAAAATATTTGAATATATAATAAACGCTTGAAATTTGCTGCAAAATATTATAAAACAAGCTTTGTTACACTGCATAATTTTGTTTAAATACATATATACGTGTATTATCTCATAGATACTTGCTAATAATTTTATTAAGTTTCGCTTCTGTGACTAAACAAATATTGTTCTTTGTTTTGTTTTTTTCTGCAATAGCTCACAAATGTTTAAATTTACTAATTAAAGAAATCACAAGAATTTGGCTATTCATATATTGAAATAAAAATACACTTAAAAAAATAACTTTATACAAAGATATCAAAGATATAATCTGAAGTAAAAAATAATATATAAGATAATTTAAAATAATTTATTTTTGTTTTTATTTTTATTTTTATTTATTTGCAAACATTAAATCTGCTATTTTATACATCAAATAAAATTTATAAAAACTAATTCAAATATATTATATATAAAAAAAATTAAAAAATTAATAAATTTCAACAAATTTGAAAATCGGCTACTTCCATCATTCCACATATCAACAAAAAATCAACAAAAATTAAATAAAAATTTGACAACAAAAATTTGACAAAAAATCAACAAAAAATTGACAAAAAATCAACAAAATTTCAACGAAAATTTGACAAAAATTTAATACTGGATTCGCTGTTAAACGCATTTGTTTTGCTGATACTTCGTCATTATTGATTAAAAACAACATGTAAGTACATTGCTATATATGTCAAATATATCTTTACAAAATATTGTTAGAATTTGCAGAATTTTCCATATTTCTACGATACAAACTGTGTAATGTGTTGTGTTTGGTGTGTAGTGGGTAGGAAAGTTGTAAGTCATGCAATCTCACATATGACACACTTAAGATTGAAGCGATTTGTCAAGCTTACATATTTCCACCCTTAAAAATTTTGTTAAGCACGTATTTTTGATTTTCAGATATTTTTCTTGGTTTTATTTACGCATTTAGTCAGTTTATCAGAAAATTCACTTTCCATACTCGTATGCAAATGAAAATATACGACACCAAGACCAACCCTTGAATCTGTGACGCACTTTTGCTTTTCAACTAGAAACGTTTTCTTTCATGGAATTACAAATTTATTTTTTGGGGTTCTTTAATAGAACAGACGAATGTTCTTACATTATAATAAAGTTTTTATGTTATATGAAAGTAATTGAAAATTGCCATATTAAATATTTATAAAGTTTATGGGTTTATTTTAAAATCAGTTCTATAGATAAAGATACAATGACAGCACTTTCAGAACCAAAATTTTTATTAAAACTTTTTATCCAAGATCCTAATCAAAATTAGGATCTTTAACTCAAATGCATACTTCAACCAATCCAATCCATTCTAACTGATTGATTGATTGTAGGGACAGTGCCGAAAATATTCTTCTACAACCTATAATTAACGATTATTCGATAATTTAGAACGCAGCAAAGTTGAAACTTACAAGGTTATTATTTTATTGTAACATATAAACAGATATCCGTCTATTTTCCAAAACTAACGATTAATAGTCGTCTTACAACCTTATTCTTCACAAGAGAATATTATAGATATTCATCCACTACCCATAATTAGCGATTATTCGGCGTTTTACTACCTTATTTCTTACAAGAAAGTTCAAAATTGATTGGTTAGTATTTTGCAGTGGTAAGTCTATAGATATCCACCCACTTACCATAATTAGCGACTATTCGTCGTTTTCCACCTTATTTCTTACAAGAAAGTACAAAATTGATTGGTTAGTATTTTGCAGTGGTAGATCTACAGATATCATTCCACTTCTCATAATTAACTAGTATTCGTTGTCCTGTCTTCGACATTTCTCACGAGTATTCCAAGGAGGTAAGATATCCATCTAACTTAATTTAAGGTATTTAACAGATATTTCGTTCTTACCGATGAATAACTTGATTAAATATCAAAGAAATATTTTTCTTAATATATCCCAGTTTCTCCTGGAAGTCAAAGATGAAGAGTCACTGAAGAAATATTCGATAGCTTACCAATATTTTGATAATGAATATTATAAGCAAAGCGCAGTTTCATTGTGTGCATTTTTGTATACCCACTTCCACTTTCTATATATACATATATACAGGCAAATACCAAAGCTTAAATCGCATTTATATCTCTCACTTCATTTAGCCATACAATAGATGTTTCTCGGTCATCTGTCGGTACTTGTACTAAATCTTTTATCCTTTGCATTTTGACAATTCAGCTTGTTTGTATCATTATTATTTTTTACTCATGGAAATTAGTACCTTGTTTTAACTACTGACTATATAAAAGAATATGTAACCAAGTAGTGAGGTTGGACTTAATATTTTATCACTCTTTTTCTATTAGTATGTATGTATGTTGATCCTTTTTTTCGAGTCAGCGCAACTGGGCACTTTTACTCT